GTGTCCAAGCTGGAAGGTTCATCCTGCTCTGTGGTCTCAATTCATGGTTGAATTTACAGGCTCAGAAAGGCAACACTCCACTAATCCAGCTCAAAGGGGTTAGGGGCAGATCCAGAGCTGGAACTTGGATGCCCATTTCTCTCCCTGATATATTCTGCCACTGGCTTCCTGGAGGCCCCAGGGAAGCTGGAGATGGTGCCTATCTGCCAATGCAGGGCTTGCAATAGGGACCCCAGGCAGCAGCAGATGATGCCAGGACACTGGTAAGGGCCAGGCCAAGGGAGGGCAGGAGGCTGCCCACAGTCCCGCCCAAGAGCCAGCTGGGGCAGGGGCCCAGCTCCTTCCCAGAGCCAGACAGAAGAAGGAGCCAGAAAGCACAGACAGGCAGTGCAAGGACTCAGAGTGTCCCCAGGGAGGCAGCATCAGGCCCTTCCCTTCTTCATGCAGCATACTGCCCTGCAGCCAGGCAGAGGGCAGGCAGTGCCTTGCAGACCCTGAGAGCCGCCCAGGCTGCAAACTGGCTCTCAAGGGGCAGTACACATCACTCTACAAGCCATGGCCAGGGTGGGCTGGCTTTGCCCAAAGCTGTCATGTTGATGCCCTAGGCTCCAGGGTGGACCACTGTGGAACTACAGACCTCCAGCTGAAGGCTCTGCTCCAAAGAAGAGCCAGGAGGACCTGGAACCCACATAAATATTCAGGGTCTCCAGCCTTCATCCTGGAAATATCTCTTTTCTACAATGATATCTCTTTGAGATACAATCATATCTCAAAAATATCTCTTTCCTACAACTCTCCCTCCCCACTCTCACCTCAGAGGCCCCTCATATCTCTGTCTACTTCTCCCAGGCCTAGCCCCAATATTGGGCTCCAAGCACCTTCCTGGTCCACCTGTCTGAGCCCATGATGGCCCTGTGGCCTGACTCACACAATTGCTTGACCCCAGCTCTCACTGTATTATTTGTCATGGTTGGGCCTCCCCCAGATCCATACAGAGTCTAAGATTCAAGGAGCCAGCACAGCAGCCAAAGCCCCAAATGATCCTTCACCAGGCCAAAGACAGCCTATAGGGAGGATAGGGGAAATAAAGGGACTGGAGAGCTCCCAACTACCAGGGGACCACAGAATAGTGGCTCCTCAACCTAGCTGAGAGCCCAGAGTCTTTGCAAGCCCAGGAAGCAGCCCCAAGAACACCAGCCCAGGTAACCCAGCGAGGCTATCCTTTCTATCTTGATCTTCTTTGTAACAGCCACTGACACACTATTCCTGATCAGCCCCAGAGAGGCCTGGCCTCCCAGCCACCACTGGCTTCCTTTGTGACGTCAGAGCCTGGTTGGGCGCGGTTGCGCATGGACCCATCTAGGTGAGGTTCCTGTGCTCCACGAGCTCCACTGGCAAAGGACTTGGCCTCCTGAACAGAAAGAAGCTGAGAGGGAGGGCCTTCAGAGCTGCCTGGCTCTTGGAAAGCAGAGTTGAGACCCACACTTCTGCCCTGACACTTTGCAGCCAATTTCCTCCTGAGACTGATGGGGTGGCAGTTCCTAGCAAGCTCTGGGAGCCACTACATTCATCACCCCCAGGAGCAGAACTACAAGCCTTCCTTTCTCACTTGTCCCTCTTTAAGAATCTATTCAGCACCTGAGAAGGAGGTCTCAGGTCACCATAGCCCAAACAGGTCAACAAACCCAAGAACAGGAGCATGAACCTATGGGACCAGGTGGTTCTGAGACCCACACCCAGATCCCCTTAACCAGGCCTGATGGAAACCCAGCTTCTGTCCTAGACTCTTCCTCATACCCCTAAACTCTGCCCAAGGTGCACCCTAGGTGTACACCAGCATTAAGAGCTTCTAGGTAAAGAGGACTGGGAACATCTCGACCCCTTATTTCTGGTAACATCAGAAATATGAGAGTACTGGCCTCTCTAGCAGAACACTGGCTCTCATTTAGCCCTCTCCCTATGTCATACTAACATAAGGTCCTCTGACCAGATTAAGAGCTCTGGTAGCATAGTGCCTAAGGCACTTGACTGCTAACCAGTAGGCAGTTCAAACTCACCAGCCACTCTTTGGAAGGAAGGTTGGGCAATCTACTTCCATAGTGATACCGCCTAGGAAACCCAAGAAGGGGTCGCTACGAGTTGGGTCCGACTCGATGGCACACGACAACAACACTGCCCAGATTATTCCTCTTCACCCCCATGTCCCCCCTTTAAGCCTGCTCCCAGTCCCACAGAGTCCGGTCCTGGGCATTGGTGGTGGACAGACCAGAGTTCTACACCTGGCTCCACACTGGGGCTGTGTGTGCCAGGGAAGGTTACTTTACCACCCTGAGCCTCCATTTCCTCTGGGGTGACAGCTGCTTCACAGGGGAACATGATCCCACCACCCCTCTATGGCTCTTCTGGCCTATAGAGTAGAAGGCTGCACCCTTCCCCCTCCCAGTCCAGTCAATACTAACCATAGATATAATAGGACACCAGGGAGAATATGGGGCAAGGTGGGGTCATCTGGCCCATGACCTCTGACCCTCCCCCACCTGCCACTCTTCAAGGCTTCAGTGGGAATCTAGTTCCTTTGATCTTAGGTATTGGCAGATTTAGGGAAAGGGGTCCTGACTTCTTGCCACAGAAAGTTCTAAGGCAATGATAGGAGCATACACATGGGGGCCCCCATTCTGTTCTCTGGCCCCCTAGATGCCCTCCTGGGTTCTCCAATGGCAAAAGGACAAGAGGCCACCCAGTCCTCTCCTGCCACCTATCTTTCCAACCGCCCTGTCTTAGACCCTCTGCCAAGATACACCACCCTAATTCTTCCCTGTTAAACTGCTTCCATAAGCATCATTTTCAGAGGGGCTCTGGTAGCATAGTGCCTAAGGCACTTGACTGCTAACCAGAAGGCTGGCGGTTCAAACCCACCAGCCACTCCTCGGAAGGAAGGTTGGGCAATCCTACTTCCGTAGTGATACTGCCTCAGAAACCCAAGGAGGAGTCGCTATGAGTCAGGGCTGACTCGATGGCAAATAACAACAACAACAACAACATACCTCTGTGTGGCTAGAGAGCCTACATGACTGTGACCTGACCATTGCTGTCTCCTGAAGCTTTCTACATATCACATACCCCTCCAGCCTACAAAAAACTTGATCCTCACTCACTGCTCCCAGAGACCCACACTGGGCACCCAGGGCACCCCCTGTCCAACCCTTGGCCTGCTCAATCCCCTGGAAATTCCTAAATCCTGCTCTTCAATTCCTGAGTCCACCACTAAGCCCTCCTACACACACACACACACACACACAGCCCCCTAATGTACTTTCAACTCTTGTCTTTGCAGACAGCCTTACTCAGGACCCTCCTCCCTGCTTCTTGGGGATGCTAAAATGCTGAGGCCTGCAGGGAGGAAAGGCAGAAAGTGTCCATCCTGTTTCTACTGCCCTCCTCCCTCTCTATCTCCCCTACCCATTGCTGTTTATCTTGTCATCTCTGGCTGGGTTGAAGGGTGTCCAGAGGGTGAATGGCTGAGTGGCAGGGCTGAGATGTGGGTCAAGCTTGTCTCCGGGGCCAGGAGGGACATTTCCTGGGTGGTACATTTCCCTCAAACTGTTAGCTCCCAGAATGCAAGCAGAGTCTTCATTAAGCCAAGAAGGCCAGTGGGCTTTGGAGAGAGAGAGAGCAAGACTGCAATTCCTTCCGGCTTTGCAGCCCCACTGCTCCAGACTAAGGCTAAGAGAGAGCTGCCGCCTGGGAGAGCAGTGCAAAGAGCACATTCGCCTATCTTATGATCGACCATAGGGTAAAGAGCCACCCCAAATGCCTCCCACAGACCTTGCTCAGCATCCCACCCACTCCCAGGGCTCCAGGGGGGTGGGGGCTTTAAGGGAAGATAGACTAGATCTGTCCCTTCAACAATCCTAGTGATAGCCATATTCTTCTTCCCAGTAGCAGGGCAGAGGGGGTCTGACTGGCCTGGTGGGCTTCCAGAAGCCCATGTGGATGGGAAAAGGGCTGGGCTGGCTCCTTGGTCTCTAAGCTCTTGCTTACTCCCCTTGTCAGGCTTCTACCCCTCATGTCCACCAAGGAAAAATAACAAGGAGCGAAGAGCAGGCCACTACAGGTCTCACCCAGATGGGGCAGACTCAGACAAATGCCAACCAGAGTTCGATTTTCCAGATAAACGGATCTGCACGATCATATACAAGCCCCTCCTCCGCCCAAACACACGCCCTCTCCTCTCCCTTCAGCATCCTGACTTGGAATTATCCCGAACAGTTATCAAAACCCAAACAGGGGAGGGCTCTGTAGGCGCCCAGATGCAGAGGAGGGTGGAAACAAGGGGTGTCTTCGGAAATGCCCAAAATGGGGTTGGAGAAGGCGGGCAAGAAAGAAGGGGACGAGGTAGGCGTCCATAACGGCCTCCACACGTCCAAAGTGTCCCCGCGAGCAGCCAGCTCCCAACTTGTTTACTTGTCAGTATGTTTGGCTGTTTCCAAAAGGAAATAGTTAAACATCCAGGTAGGTCTCTGAGCAGTCCCTATCTGTCACCTTGCCTTCTGGCTAAGCACTGCCACCACCGCCGCCGCCGCCGCCGCCGCCAGGGAATCGAACCTTGTCTACTTTATTACACTTGAGCGTGGCCAAACTGTTGCTACTCCGTGGAGGGCAAAGAACCCGTTTCGCACCCACGAAATGAGCCAGCAGCTGGTGGGTGCGGGGGCGGGAGCTGGGCCCCGCGTGCCCTCGGTGGGCTGGGGTCCTCTCCGGGGAGAGACAGACACGCAGACACGCATCCACGGATCATGCCTCGCCAGGGCCGGAGTCACCTGGAATACGCGGCCCGAGAGCATCTCCCGAGCCAGAGCGAGCCTGCCGCGCGCCCGGCGGGCGGCGAGCAGTGGCGAGCTGGGGCGGGCGAGGGCCGACTACGGGGCCGCGGGAGGGCGGGAGAGAGGGAGACGCGGAGCGCAGGGGGAGGCGGGCTGGGGAGCGGCCGCCTGACTTACATGGAAGTGATATTCCTTGAGATGTCCGTGATGTTGATACTGGCGTTCCCATTGCTGTTCCCTGAATCCTGCCCTTCCAGGAGGGGAAAGAGGTTCCCCTCGTCCGGCCGCCTGCAATTGATCTCCGTCTTGCTGCAGACACAATTTGCAGGGCAAGCCAGCACGGAGCCCACATAGTCCAGCCAGACGCTTCCCAGCAAGAAAATCCGCCAGAAACTACACTTGGCTGGGCAAAGAGAGACATCCATCTCCGATCGCTGCTTCTAAAAAAGAGGAGGAGGAGAGGAGAGGGGGGTGGGGTGGGGGGGAGTGGGGAAAGCAGGGGGGGAGGAAACAAAGACGGCGAGGGAGGGGGGAAGGGGGAGGGGGCCTCTGCCTTTGAAACGCCGAGCGATCAGATGCAAAATCCTTCAGCGTCTGAAACCATCGCGGCCACCGCCGCCGCCGGGTGGGAGCCGCCGGGAGCGCCTAGTGGCGCGGTCTGCCGGGCATGTTGGCCGGCTTGGCGCTCGCTGGCTCGGCGGGTTCGGGGGCTCGGGAAGCGAGCCGCGCTCTCTGACTCCGAGACTTTGCAGGGTTGCAACAGACGGTAGGGAGGCAAAAAGAAGGAAGGAAAAAAAAAAGGAAAAGGAAAAAATGGTGCTAAAGTCACCAAGTCCCACCTACTGGGCAGAATTAAAACGGACACACCTGCAAAACACACAGATTCATGCACACACACATACACACAGAGAGCCCGGGAGAAAGAAGAGGAAGATGCAGTTGGAGCTGCAGCAGCTGCCGCGAATGGCTCGCCGCGCGCCTGCAGAAATGTACAAGTGCTCCGAGCCTTACGAAACGCACGGGTTATCGGAGCGTCTTCCTCGGCTCCCTCCTCCCGCTCTCCTCCCCTCCCTCCTGGAGGCCTCCTCCCCTAGTCCCCCGCCCCGGCAGGGAGCGGCAGGAGAGCAGAATCTCCCCCTCCCTCTTTCTCTACCCCTCCTCCTCCTCCCCACACCCCTCTCTCTCCCCGCCCGTCCTCTCCCTCCTCCCTCCCCACCCACCCACCCACTCGCCGGCTCGCGGCTCTCTCCGGCACCGCCACCCGCAGCCGCGCGGCCGCTCGCCCGCCTGCTCCACGCCTCGCGGCCCCGCGCCCACTCGCCGCAGCCAAAGGGAAACCAAGACTGAAGGGAAAAAGTTGCAGTTGGGATTGCGAGGGTCGGGGGTGAGGAGGGGGAGTTGGCGAGCTGGCTGCGCGACGCGGAAAAGCGCTCTCCTTCCCACTTTTTGGCCCTCGTGCTGCCCGGTTTTGCTGCAATCCGGACCTCCAGAGGAAGTGAAATGAATGCTGCCGAGGTGGCCGGGGAGCGCTCCTGAGCTTAGATTGGGGGCACAGGCTCGCGGACCGCAACAGGGGTTTCGGGAGCGCACAAGAATCCTAAAGAGGCGCTCCGAGCTGGAGAAGAGGGCCGTGGACACGCGGTCCTCCGTCTGAATGACACTCATTTCTGTAATCAAGAGTCCGGGGAGCTGGGCTTAGCTGGGAGGAGACTGCGGGGCATGGCACGATTGGTGCCCCGCGCCCACTGCACCTCTTTAGCGGTCGGTTTTGCATTCGGCCTTGGGCAGGCAAGGAGCGGAGAAGGAATGAATAAACGCCGAAAGGGCTGCACTGGGGAGTCGAGGTGGTCCAGCGCGAGCCGTGCATGCGAGAGACGCGGCCAGGGAAATTGAAATGCAAGGGGCATTTTTTGGCAAGCGCCACGCCAACACCGTCAGAGGCCGGTTTCTCCGGCTCGGCTCTCTCCGGCGCGCTGCGCTGGCTGCCGGGTGAGGGGGCGGGCAGGCTGCTTTCTCCGGATTCGGGGGCACAGAACCTCCCTCCTTCCCTCCCACAGAAGCACCCCTTCCTGGTAAGGGCACAAAGCAGGTGCAACCTTCACCGCGAGCTTAGATTCTGCCCGGGAAAGGAGAGAGGTCCCCGCTTTTTGCCTTGGTAGGGATTTTTGTTTTTGTTTTTGTTTTTCTGTTTTTCTTTTAATGTGAAGATGCCAAATGTAAGCTGTTGACTGAGAAAAGCGGAGCCTTTGCTGTCGGGAAGGAGAAGAAAGGGTTAGGGGAGCTAGAGCAGGCAGACACACTACAGCATTCAAGCGCAGAAGAAAGCAGGACTCTACTCCCCGAGCTTGGATAAGGACAGGGAAGGAAGCAAAATACATTGAATTCAACTGCATCCAGTATCTGAAAGGATTCTCCCCCGCCCCCCTGTGGATTCCGATGCAGGTCATGCAACATGCAGGCAAGATGGGGGAAGGGGTATGCGGGTGCCACTGGCCTGCCCTAGGCGCAACCACAGACAGGCTGGGCGCCTGCGAGTGGCACTGTCTCTAGGAGTAAACTTGGAAGGAAAAAAAAAAAGAAAGGAAAGGAAAGAACATGCCTATAAAAGGCAGTTTTCCCGACTTCCCGTCACATTCCGCCTTCCCTTGGCCTCAGTGAGACTTTTACCCCCTGTCGCCATTATGGCCTTGTCCCCAGACTGGCATTTTGCCCTCCTACCAGCAGGAGGGGACAGAGAGTGGGGACCGCCTTAGACTCTCAAACCAGTTTCTACTGGCCTCAGGCCAATCCCTGGCAGTCTTAGTCCGCTGGGAATCTCCTGCCACTTTAAGTGCCACAGCACATTTGACGGGTTTTAGAAGATCTTTTTGAGATCCGGGAAACTGAGGTGTAGTTCAAAGCTCTGGTTTGGCTCCTGTTGGGAGGTGGCAGGTGGCAGCAGACAAACCCAGAGAACCTTTCTCATGAGCCGGGAAGGCCAAGTGGATTTAGCCCAGTGTCAGTTCTCTTGCCTCGAACTGAAATTATTGTGCCTAAAAGATAACCAGCACTTGTTTTGAGAGAGGGAGAGAGAAATTAGTTTTAACATTTCCATCAGAGAGGGACATATCTGTAAATCAGACTAAATTGAAAAGAAAAAAAAAAAAAACCCTTTGGAGAGAGTAAAATTGCAGGCTGTGAAGCAAGGGATCCTGATGAAACAAGAATTTTTTTTATCTTGACTGTAAAATGAGATTAAGATGGGATATGGCATTTATGCTCAAGCTTTGGGCCTGAGCAGGAAGTGGCAGCTTAAAAGGAGGGAGAGACTGTTTTTAAAGAAAATGATGACAGAGTGGGGATAGCAGAGTTCTATTTCTGACCTTAAACCTTCTGAGCCTCAATTTTCACATCTGTAAAATGACTAGGTTGGACCAGATCCTTACTACCCACAATAAGGGCCTCTGGCTAGCAGAATCCTTATTGCCTGGGAGCTTGTTAGATATGCGGCATCCTAGGACCCATTGCAGACCTACCTAAAACTACCTGCACCAGAATGTCCATTTTAATGAGATCCCCAGGTGATTCATATGCACATTATAGTTTGAGAAGTACTGAGATGACTCTCAAAGTCCCTTCCTGCTGGAAGGATGGTTGGGGAAGAAGAGAGATCAGTACCATCAGTTCTCAGAATATTCAGTTAGATTGAAATAGACTGGGCGCTTCAGATGTAAGAACTTTGTCAAAAACAACCTGTGAGTTTTACTACAAGAGGCTGGAGAGAATGACCTGTTCACACTGCCTGTAGAAATATACTCATGATTGCAGAGTTCTTAACCTCTCAGGTAAGTCAGATTTGGAAACTGAAGAGGCAAGAGAAACTCTCCTCCTTTCAGTCAGTGGTGGTCCAGAGTATTTGGAGAGCAAGGTTTTTGCTGTATCTGATCTTATTTGTCACCCTGGTGGCAACATCCTGGTTAACATAGATGTCACATCATCCTAATTACCTGGTCTAGAGCCATCCCAGGATACTATGGAGATCATGGCCCAGCTCAGCATCCTACCAGTCAGGGGATCATCTACCTCTCAGGTCCTTTGTTGCCAGCTGGAACCTTAGAAATGATGAAACTCACCAGTGTACACCCTGCTGCTCTGGAAGAGGCAGAAATGGGCAAAGTTTTTTTTTTTGTTTGGTTTTTTTTTTTGTTTGTTTGTTTGTTTTAACAGAAACGAAAGCTTTAGAGACCCTTTGCAGGTGAGCAGATGCCTTCTGGTACCAAGGATTTGGAGAAGATAGGGATGTTCCCAAGATTCTGACATAGTCTCCTATCAGATGGCTGGAGTGGGGGCAGCTCCAAGACCATAGTGGTTCCACCTTCCTGGGATCTGGGGAACTGAACACACATCTCTTTCTCAAAGAGCATGTTCCAACCATGGGAGCACCACCAATTTCTACTTGACTGTTTGTTTATGACATAGTCTTAGCAGCAGAATTTCCTTGCCACCTACAAGTAGAGGAAAGGAATGCAAGACACATACAAACACAGGATGCTGATCGTGGGAACCTCCCAGTGCCTCCCCCCACTGTAGATATCAACTGGTCCTCAGCATATCCATGTGACTTTCAAAGCCAGCCTCACCCCCTTTTCCAAAAGCCCTATACCCATTAATCAGTGGCCATGTTATTGGGATGTAGAGCAGAGTCCAGGCATTTTAGATTCACCCAACCCACCCCACTCCTACAGTGTCAGCCTGAGTCCAGGAGCTGTGTTGCAAAGCTTTCTTGTGTGAATAGAAATAGGAGCCATTGTCCTAAATCCAAGCTGGGACAAGAACTGTGGTCTAGGTGGTGAATGTGGTGGTGGGTGGGCTAGGGAGCATGGCGGAGATGAATGGAAGACTGGGGCCTAAAGAACATGCTGTTCTAAAGACTTACCTGGAGCTGACAGGCCTGGGCTAGGGTCAGGGGAAGAGCCTGTTACCACAGTGGCTCATTCTCAAGATGCAGGAATAAGCATGGGTAAAAGCTGTGTGCTTGTACTGGTATCCAGAAGGCTGAGGGCTTTATTGAAAAGGGAGGAGGAAACTTTGATTATATGTAGAGTCATGCACCAAAATGGTCTCAGAAAGAAGGAGAACACAACTACAGGAGGCCCAGGCTCAGAACCCTGACTCAAGTCCCAACATCTAGTACACACACCTGTGGGGGATGGGGTGGGGGCACTGACCTCTCTGCCTCTAACTGCTGTCCCTTTAAAGAAGATTACCTACTCTCCTGTCTTGCCTGGTAGGGTTTTATGGAGGGGACTCCTCCCAGGGTCCACACCAATGCTGCTACCCAGATGACCCTTCACCTTTCTTCTATTTTCCCTGAATGGTAGAGTCATAGAACCTTTGGGTTGGAAAGGACCCCAAAGGTCACCCAATACAAACCCACTTGATGTAG